ATAAACATTATAAAAATCTGACCCCAAAATATTGTTGTCCTCACCCACCAGTGCATTAAGGGACAGCTAAAAATCAGTCAGAGACTGTACAGAGCTATGCAATGAACCTCACCTCAATTCTGGATCTGGAAACAAGACGTTCTGCAAGAGAAAGTGTTTATGAGCAGGACAGCTCTTTGGCAACAAAATATCTTCATATATTAAAAGGAGATCCACAAAGAGTGAGAAGATACTCCTTAAAGGCTGACAGTTTGAAGTTCTTTAACTAAGTTGCATCTTACATGTCCATGTATTTCCACCACATACAAACAGCTCCGTGAATTTTTGTTAGGCGATGCCCAACTCTTCAGGGTTGTAGCACTGTCTCCTGAAATGCTTTAAACAGAGACCTTCACAACGATTTGAAGGAGCATTAAATTACTACAATCAAATAGAATGATGAAATCTTGGTAATTGTGAAGACCACAAGCATCTTAGAGCTGAGACAGTTTGCCCTATGTGGTGGCACACCACTGTGTGATCTTTAATTAATATATTATGGCTTTTTTTTTTTTCCTCTAAATCCCCAACATCAGACATCCTTTTCCACTGATCTGGAAAAAAAATCAAATCCTTTTGCCCAGGGACTCAGTGGATTACAGGAAACACACACAAATAACTGCTAACTGTGAGAATATTTCAGATGGTAACAATGCAAAAACCCCAAAATACTGCTGGACTGAAATTACAGGAACTTAAGCAGTATGGCTCATTAGCACTACAGGGAGGGTAAAGTCAGAGTTGAAACTGTAAATTGGTTTTCCAGGCACCCTTACCTTTTTTCAAACAGTAAGCACACCTAAAGAAGGAAAACAAAAGCTGCTACTCCAACTTTATCTGAGAGACTTAATAATACTTTCAAATTCTTCAGGAAATGATGGTGACCAAAGAAATTGAAGTAAAACTTCCAATTCAATACACACTAGCACAGATATTCAGGTGTTTCTCATAAATTAAGCCTTCTCCTTCCAAGGAAATTCTACCTAGGTACACTGTGATCCTATGTCTGACCGGAAATTGCATTTGCTCTGAAAAATGGAGCAGCCAATACACCACCCCAATAATCTATGGAATATTTTTGTCAAAGTCAGAAAGTTAATTTGAGAAGTCCTATCTATCAAACCTCTAGTGAGAAAGAAACAGGACACGAGTGGAAAACCTGTGCTGTTGGCTGCCATTTAAATACAGTTACTGCTACAGTACAGCACCTCTCTAAATACACCTCTGTTACTGCTCTGTCACTGTTACACATCTACAGCATAACAGAGATTTTGGGGGTTTTAGATTTACCCAAGCAGTTAACATCAACTTACAGCCAAATAAAGTTTCCTAGTTATGACAAAAAACTGCATGAGTAGAAACTCAGCATCTTCAGGAAGACAACTGAAATCTTAAATTCTGGCTGGAACAAAGTTAATGGTTAATGAGTAGAAATCCTGGCTGCATCACATGTGGCACAGCAGGCACTCTGAATCAATTTAAATCATGTCTGATGTGCTTTCCTCCAAAGCTGCAGAGTTCACAGTGTGTTACACCGAAATAAGCCCATGCTGAAGACTCTGGTTTATGAGCAGCTGCCACCAAACAGCAGACAGGAAGTAAAGCTGCATTAGAATGAGATGGAGAATAGTATTATAAAGGGGAGGGGAAGTAAAGCAACTTCACAGACTTCATCAGTGACTGGTATTTTAACAGCAAAAAAAGGATAGCCAAGAACTAATGTTCTTTCAAGTAAGAAAGAGCAGAGCTGTATAAATATCTTGAGTACCAAAGGAAAATGAGGGATGTTATGTTACGGTAAGTAGTATACAAAAAGTGCAAAGAAGGTTGATCTCACAGTTCTTAGCAAAACAAGGGGGACTTTGAATAAAATTAGATTTTAAGAAGCACTAAAGTCCATACACACACAGTTCAGACTGAAGTTCATATGGCATCAGTATAAAACAAATAAAAAATAAAGAACTTCATTAACCACAATAAAACTAATCTAAGTACTTAATGATACCAGAGAACCAAGGTGAAAATGAAGTTCTCCATTTAATTGCAGGGTTTAATTATGTAAGATTTCAGGCAGTACACATTAGACTGCTACACTGTCTACCTCTGCATTTCTTAACAACATCTATTCATTTATTCCTTAACAAAAAAACCTGGACATAAGATGACAAAACAAAGAATCACAAAGCCTTGGTATGGTTCAGCTCTCCAGAAACAGGACATACAGTGAATCTGACACACCCCACACACACCCACAGCACCGTGAAATACAATGTTCTATCATTTTTATGATCTAGGGACCTATTTTTAGTGCTGCTTTTTCTTTTGCTATGACAAACCTGAAAAATTGCTCGAATACACAATTAAATTTGCTGCAGGTCAAAGACAGCACAGAATGTTAAAGCTATCTCAAAAAAAATGCTAAACTTGAGTTTAAAATGAGTAGAAACATTAAGTGAACACTTAGCTATCCAATTCTTGGATTAATGAAGACAGGGTATCCACCAGAGGCCTACTCACCCATTGTGAGCATCAGATGCATCAAATTAAAAGGCAAATTAAGCATACAAAAAACCCCTCAGTTAAGAAATACCAGATTGAAAAACCTCAAGTCTATGAAGTATGTATTTTCAGAATCCTGACTTTCACAAGGGTGTTGCTCTCTCTAAAATTCAATCATTTAAGCAGCAATTCTAGCAGATGCTGCATTAGTAGCTTTGTCAATCTGTGTACAAAACTGCTTAGGCACAATAGTGACATACCTCAGCTCTGGATAAACTATTTTGGGCCATCATTTGCTTAGCCAAACACCGAAGCAGAATTCCAGAATAAAAATATTCTAGTGTTGGTAAGTTTATCTGCATTCTAGATCTCAAACTAATGCCTAAGATAATAATTAACTGACAGCTCCCCCCATAGCCTTTTTTTATTCATATAATTAAAAACATGCCTCACTGGCACAAATCCAGTGATGAACAAACACACATTATGCACTGCCTCAAGAATCAAAGCTCGTAAAACAATGCTGCACAGAGCTACAAAAGTCACATGGCTGTAAAGGACTGCTGAAGCCTATGAAAGGCATTTTCAATAAACCCAAATGACAGAAATCTAGAGAGAACAAAAATCTCAGACAATTCACACGAAACATTGAACTGTTTCCGTTGATAACGTAAGAAACACTGTCCCATTCTGCTTACTCCCCTGCTCAAATCATGGGAGTGGCTTACTTTCAGAGAAGTTTAATTCTGTGCAGAGCAAGCCTGAACTCACGTGGGATTTACACCAGTAAGGTCTGATTACAACGGTAAATTCCTGATTTGTTCCTACCAGAGCATAACATTGTTCCCATTTATTAGTTCACCCACCTCTAGCCTCACTCAGAAGAATTTGTCTGAACATTTCAGTGAAGCACTCTAGAATTTACTGTAAACACACATAGAAGAGGGAGTGGCACTCATTAATGAGGCTCATGTTCTATTTTAATGCACAGCGTATCTGCCACGCTCTTACACGATTAAGACAACACAAGAAAATGGATGAAGTAGTTCAGTACTTTAAGAATTCATTCAGAGAAAATAAAGTTAAAAAAAAATCATAGGAGTAAATAAAATTAGTTTTGAACTGGCAAGAAGAGAGACCTCAGTCTTCTTACACATTACAAGAAAAATTCCTCATTCAATTGTGAGCCAGAATCAATATTTTTCAGTAAGAGCCAGATTCAATTCAGTTTCCTGAGCAAAGCAGTCAGTACCCAGACAGCCAACTTCACTCCTTCTCCCCCAATTTGTCAAACTTCTGCAAGCCTCACAGGACTAAATGGAAAACAATTTTTTTCAAAAAAAACCTCATTAACTTGAATTCCAAATACCATAACTGCCCTCAGGAATTTTTTTTCTTCCAATCAAGTTTTCCCACTATAGGAAATATTTATCTTCCACCTAGCAGCATTTAAAAGACCCAATATGCCATTAAACCTGAATATGCTTCAAGTATTTCCTCCAACCTGGTAGGTTTGGTAGCATTAGCTGTTTCTCATTACAAGGGTAGGTAAAAACATTTAGGCAAAAGTAAGAATTTTGCGGTCCATTAAAGATCTTTAAAATAAAGAGATTATACAGAAATTAGCCTGAATCAGTTAGGCTGTGAGGGCTTAAGTGCTGGTCCAAACCCACTGAGGTCTGCAGAAAGTCTCCTACTGAATTCAGTGATCTTTGTATCAGTCCCAAAGCACCTACAGTAGCTCAGATAAGAGACAGCGTCTACATTTCAAAGGTATGTTTTTCCTGTAAAACAAAACCAGCTGTAAGTGATTTCAGTAACTTTATTCTGATGAGACTAAGCAAGGTTTCTGACTTTAAATCTAATACAGCTTCACAGTAACCATCACTGTCACCAGGGAATTCTAGCTTTCGATATCAGTCGATGGGACAACCACCTCAGAAAAGAGAGATTCAGAAATCAATTCTGAAAGTGATGCTGCTTCTGTATTATAGCTCATGGCGAAACCGAGAAAGAGCTTCGTTCCACTCAGAGCACATTGACTGCTTGCTGTATCAACTGGCAGCCAAGGACAGAATGAAATAACCTGTTGAAAGTGCAAATTTTCATTAGTCTACCACAGTTCATTGGCCACAGTCTTATTTCTGAACCACTGTAGAAGCACCTACGCAACACCAAATTTAAATTGTCCCCAACATTTTATCATAGCATGACAGTAAACTCCGTTCTTCAAAATAACGAAAAGCCACCAGCACTGCCCACATGCTTCCCTACAGAAATACTAATGTGCTTTGAAACAAAGCAATACCAGATTTTATCCCACCAGCTTTCTTTCACTTGTGCTACCTACCTGCATGGAGATGTGAAACATTAGACATTTCGCATCATACATGTGGTTCATACTAATTAGATAATAAGCACAACACAAAATTTTCTTTCAGTCACAACAATTTCCTTCTTACCTTGCCTCCTTCTCTTTCAAAGTCGACATATTCCCGGGTCGGTGTCTGTCGCTGCTCCCCCTGCCAGCTGGCCGGAAAAAACTGGAGAGACAGATTGGTTCCTGTGGCCACAAAAGCCTTTTAGAAAAATCAATACAAACAGGATCAGGGAGCAAGACATTACATAAATTATGCAGGCAGTCATTTATTTTTACATCAGTTTATGTCTTAAGCCAGGCAGCATAGAGAATACTTAAAGTCAAAAACATGCACTCATCATTTTTCTTAAGTATTAAGTTACAAACATCTGATTCCATTTTGACAACATTTGCCATTGGCTGCTTCGGATATAAAATACAACATGGAATCAATACTTCTTTCAAATCAGTTTTGCTGACATTAGAATCTGTCCTTTCAGTTCTGTCTGGATACCCTGCATCAACTTAGTACCTGCACCATTAAAGACTGCCCATGTTTTTTTGAAGATACCTCTAAAAGAAGTACTGCTGAAGGAAAATGAACTCCTGAGACCTGTTACTAAGAACAACTTTTTCCCAAAAGAAAACTACTCGTTTCCTTTCACAATCTACTTATAATTAGACAAACACTTAACTGAAATGCAAATATCCCTCTTTTATCATCTACTGGCATGCAGCATCAACACACAGCTCAATCAAACTTCACAGGATGAAGTGCTCATGCCACATTAAGACACCAGCGAAATCCAGATCAGCAGATGCTGTCAGTGAGAACAGGCAACTGTAGGAATTCTTCTCAGCTGCAGTCCTGAGTAAAATCATTAAAGGGACCGACTTAACCGTATTAGAAAAAGCATCCATTGCTTTCAAGTGAGCAATTTTTCTACAAATTCAAATGAAAATAGGATTCCATTTTCTTTCTAAACTCTCTGTATTTATTTGTGCATCTTAAGTGCAAGCCATGGAGAGTACATCAATTTCTAGACATGAAAGGAAAGATGATTTGTGCAAGGAGAAGTCAGATTCACAGTATTTATACTTTTCTCTGGTACAGGTGAGCATGTTGTCCTCCAAGTCCTCGAATACTCACACATGTCCCCAGAATATCATCCTACTCAAAATCCCAGGGTTAAATGTAATTTGTTGCAATCAAATGCCGGTATTGATTACCACGATCACTTAGATTTAAATGATCATTAATCCAGAATATAGTTTTCTTAAAAGCTATACAACTACCACTCTAATAGCTGAGATTTCCTGACAAGCAGATTTCTTTTGAGCAACCCAGAATTCAGCACCTGTATGGTATAACTGTACAGCTACCTATGACACAATAGTTCTACACGCTATTTAAGACAGTTCCAGTCAAGGACTGCGACGCTGTCTGTCACAGGGTTAATATCTCCCATTTTGAAAGTAGAAGTGCT